GGGCGGGGGCACTGGGCCCTCCTCAAAAATCCCCTCGGGGAGGGGGCTGGATTGCACAACGCTGGGTCACGTGGCCAGGAGGGCGGGCAGGGCCATGAGGATTTGGGGATCCCCAAGTTAGGGGTAGGGATGGGGGTCTGACCCTGAGGGGTGGACCTCGGGAAAGGAGGGGCCAGTGTGGCACTGTGGGGAGCAGGAAAGCTGGGCAGAGATGCGATCGGTCCCTCGGCAGCGACCAAGGCAGCCAGGGCCTTGGGAACCTCAGGAGCAGCCCGGGCTGGGGGGAAACCCAGGCTACCACTGACCCCCAGGACCCCAGGTGGAAACATCCGTGGGTGTGACTGGGGGGGTTCCATCGGGCACTGGGGAGTGGAAGCCTCCCGCCTGCCAGGGACTGCCCCGGGCCTAGCGGAAGCAGGCAGCATCTGGCCCCAGGCCCCCAGGGAGGCCAGACACCTGGGCAGGGCAGAGTTGTAGAGGTCCCCACCGGGTGCCGAGGCGGACGGTAAGCTGAGGCAGGCTAGGCCAGTGAGGTCCTGGCAGCGGGGCCTAACCTAGCAATCCCTGATGAGGGTGTGGTGGGGTAGGGGCCTTGGGGTGGGCTCAAGCAACTGAACCTTGTAGCCAGAAGGCGTGGGGTACATGCCTGTCGCCCCTGTACTTGGGAGGTGGGGGCGGGAGGATGGAGAGTTTGAGCCCAGCCTGGGCAATTTAGTGAGGCCCTGTCTCAAAATTTAAAAACTGGGGCCAGGGATTTAGCTCAGTGGTTCCACTGCCTGCCTTGTAAATTCAAGGTCCTGAGTTCAATCCTGGGAACCCCCAAAATAAATAAATAAGTGAATAAAACCCAAAGGGCTGGGGATGTAGCTCCGTGTGGAGGGCCCTGAATTCAATTCCCAGTAATGAGAAATAAACGCTGTGGACCTTTCCCCCCAGAAACCACAGCGCAGCGAGTGACAAAAGGCCTGAATTTTATTAATCCTGCCGTGGGATGCTTCTGGTCACCAGGCCTCGGGGCCAGGGGGCCCGAAGCGGCGCAGCAGCTTCTCCTGGTCCTCCAGGTCCTTCCGCACCTTCTTGCGCATGTAGAAGATGGGGCAGTCCCGGCTGCAGAGCGGGCGGGGTCAGGGCGCCCTGGCTGGGGATGGCGAACACCGACCCCTCCCAGGCCAGGGCCGTTCCCAGGACTTTGCCCCCCCTGCTGCCTGCCCTCCACCTGTGGGGCTGTTTGCTCAGCGGGCACGGGGGGCAGATAACAGTAGTGCCCAGCCAGGCACGGGGGGCTGTATATCACCTGTCACCTGGCGTGGGAACCCACCCCGCCCACCTGTTCCCTGGGGAAAGCCCAGCCCCACCCTGGGGAGGGGACCGGGAGCCCCGCCAGCTCCGGGCAGATGCAGGCGGGGCGTGGGGAAGGGCAGCGGGCAGGGACCCCGAGTTTGATCCCCAACCTGCGGGCCTGGGGCAGGGGTCGGAGCAGGCACCCACCTGGTGCAGATGACGTCCTCGTGCAGGCTGCCTTGACAGCGCTGACACTGCGTCCACAGGCGTGAGAAGCGCTCCTCCAGGGCGTTCAGGTGGGACACCTGGGGGCGGCAGGCGGGGTGAGCTCGCTGGCAGCCGCAGCCCCAGCCCCAGCCGTGCTCCGGCCTGGCCCACTCACCTCCTTCTGGTACAGCTCTGACTCCCGAGGCCGGCAGAACTTGCACACGGCTCCTGGGGGCGGTCAGAACGGAGCCGCTGGGGCTGCGCCAGGCCGGGCCACCTCACCCCTGCCCCTTCCCCGCCCGCTGCCCATCCCGGTTGTGAAAGTCCCCGGAGGCCGGAGAACAAGGGAGCAAGTGTCGTGGGGAAAACTCCCCTGGGGAACTCCGGAGGGCGAGGACCCTCGGGGGTGCAGGCGAGCTCCCCCTTCCCCCCACGCAGTGCCTGGGGTCTCACCCTCGTGGCTGAGCACCGTCCGGCAGCCAATGCAGCAGCTGCGGCGCGTGGCGAAGGCCAGAAGGCCGCCCACCTTGCCCGTGAGCACGGTCTTGCAGCGCGTGTCGTCGCCGCCTGCAGGGGAGCCCCTGGATGGGTGGGCGCCCTGCCGCCCCGCCCCCCGGGAGCCCGCGTACGCAGCAGCACCGCCTCGGCTCACCCCTCGCCCAGGATGGGCTCGAAGATGCGCAGCAGGGGCTTGGCCAGCTGCTGCTCCAGGTAGTACTGCGTGTCGATGGGCAGGCTGTGCTCCAGCGCGAACAGGGGGTCCTGCGGGGCGCGGGGTCTCAGCTCCAAGGCAGGAAAGGGGATGCTGGGGCAGGACTGGGGGCACTGAGGGAAGGGGCTGCTGGCAGGGACAGAAACAGCCAGGCTGGAGGAGCTGTGAGGGAGAGCAGTGAGGGAGAGCAGGGAGGGAGCCGCCGCCCGCCCCGCCGGAAAGCAGAAGTGAGAGCAGCGGCCGCACCGGCCCAGGTGGGCCTCACCTCTGACTTCATGTAGGCGGCCGCGCCCTTGGCGGCACCCACGATCACGTAGGGGACACGGTCGCCCAGGCTGGGCGCGCTGCCCGGGTCCCGCTTCCTCATCCTGCGGGGACAGCGAGGCAGGTGGCAGGGTGAGGGCAGCGGCAGGGGGCGCAGGAAGTGGTCTGCAGGGTGTAGGGGCTGGGCCCCACCTCTCCGCCAGCTCCACATGCGCCTGCCTGCCGGCATAGTCGGCCGCAGCGCGGGTCAGCTCCTTGGTGATCACCAGCTGGGAGATGTCAATGCGGTTGCACAGCAGGTCTGAAATGACGTCCTTCGCGTGGGCCACCGCGCCCTCGGGGTCTCTGGGGGGGGCGCAGTGTCACCAGAGTACAGGGCCAGGTGGGCCGGGAGCCAGGGCAGCTGTGTGGGCTGAGACTGGCCGACAGGGCCTGGCCACAGGCGAGAGGCCGAGCCCGAGCCCGAGATGTCACTTACCACGGCCACCCCACCAGGAGGGTGACCGCCAGGTCCCAGGGGCCCTAACTGTACCCTGGGTCTGAGGGAGGACACACACCTGTCAATGAGCAGGCGGCGCAGCGAGGCAGTGACGAGGTTGGCCACGAGTGGGCAGTTGTCCCTGCGCACGGCCTCCAGGCCCTTGCAGTCCATGCGGTCATGGCTGTGGGGCCCGGAAGAGAAGAGCAGGCCCGCATAGCGCTTCTTGCTTATGAGCAGGTAGGGGAAGTAGACCTGGAAGACAGGGACGACCCTGAGACTTGGGGCTCTGTCCCCAATCTGAGACCTCTCCCAGAAACAGGGCAGGCCAGAATGGTCCCGAGACAGGAATGGGCACTCGGGTAGCCCGTGGAGAGGGACCCCAAGGTGGCCCCTGAGCACCTTCAGCTACCCAGGGCCCCGATCTGAAGGTGGGACAGGCCTCAAGGTGCATCTGGACGGGGGAGACCAAGCTCCCCTCAGAGAGGAGGCCACAGCCCCCAAACCCGAGCAGGTGCACTGGGCTCTGAGCTGAGCCTCGCTCCACACCCAGGGGAGGCAGCCCCCACAGACATCTCGGGAAGGGACACTGCGGCCCTAGGTAACCAGAGCCAGCTCAGGAAGTTTCCAGAGCCCGGCCCAACCTGGGGGGCCTATGCACAACGCCAACACACTGACACTTGGCCAGGACGAGAGGTGTCCGGGAGACTGGTGTGGGTATCTGGAAGAGGCCTTGAACAGCACTGGGGGTGCCCCGCCCACGCCCTCCCATGAGGTGCCCCAGGCCGAGACCCCACACCTTCTCAAACTCCAGCCGGATGGGCGGTGGGAAGTGGCCCGACACCCAGTTCGCGGCCTCGCGCCCCAGATCCATTGCCTCGGCCACAGAGGAGACGCCGAAGCGGCACATGACGGAGTCCGTGTCACCGTACACCACCTGCACAGGTGCAAGGGTCCCTCGTGCGGCCTGGGAGGGCGGGGCCTCAGCCCAGGGGTCCCACATTCTCCCCAGCCGCCAGCCTGACCTTGGCATCGGCGCCGTAGCCGTTCTTCACCGTGTACTTGGACTCCACCAGTTGCTTGGTTTTCTCGATCATCTGGCGTCCGAACCCCGTGACACTCTGCAGGGTACAAGCCCCAGTGTGGAAGCCACACGCTGTGGTCGCTGGGGCCCCACCGCTGCCACCTCCCAGCAGTGGGGGCCTCGGTGAGCCTCGCCGCCCCACCTGCTCCCACACCTGCCCCGGGCCCCAGCTGTTCCGAAGGTTGCGGTGGGACGTAGGTCCCTGCCCAGAGCACAGGGCTGGAGCTGAGCTGGGGCCCACGCATCTCTACCATGTCACGTCCTGGACAGCAAGCCGGGGCCG